AGAAAAAGTATAAGGTTGTGAGAAGTCGTTATTTAATTTAATCTGGCTTCGTATGATTAAAAGCAACGCAGTCCCCCGGCCCGTTGTTATTGTGAGGTGAGCTCCGGCGTTGGGGAGAAACTCAGCGACGTAAACTGTGACGTCATGACGCAGCAACGGCAGCACCAGTCGGGCTCTGAGCGGTGTGGAAAAGAGCCGGCGCTAAACCGAAGAACCGGTTCTGAACCAGAAAAGCTCTAGCACGGAGCTTGAACCGGAGTTGCGTTGGTGTGAAAGGGGCAAGAGAGACACGAGGAGAGCTGGAGCTTTGATGGCAAACACTGATGGTTATTTGGAGTTACGGCCGGAGAATTGACAAGTGTGTCACAAGTTGACAACAGCGGTTGCCAAACCAATTCTGAAGAACTCTTCTGCAGCTCAAGGTTTTAACTAGTTCGGAGTGTAATAATCAACATTCTTTATCAGTAAGACTAAACAAATATGGACCCTGAATCTAACTAGAGCTCTCGTCCATAGAAAAGAATGTGCGCCAGGGAACCTACGTGCCCCCCGAACAGGTAAAACTACTCATGGCGGCTGTGCTCTGTCATAGACGGGCAACAACAATGCGCCCAAGCTGCTCCTCCTTAAGAGAGATAGCAGTAATACCCAAGGCCGTAGAACTATGCCATGGGAAAAAGACCGTAAAGAGAGAAAACGATGAACTGGGTCGAAGGTTGAATACCTAAGGAAATTATTCCCTAACAAGGATGATGATTAAAATAGTTTGTTTGAGCCGGGCTGCATTTCCTGATGAAAAAACAAACCGATGGTTTTGTAGTTGTAGTACGCCAACGTGGATTAAACAACATTATTTTGTTAAATAAAAACATGGTGATGTTTTGTAAATGATTACATGTCTCTTATTTAGCACAGAATATGATCCTATCCGTGACATATGGATCTTAACAAAGATCCGCTATACCTGTAGATCTATCAGCTGTTATTTCACATGAGTTCCAGTGTGGCAGCTTTTTAATCACTGCTCCCCCTGGTGGATCCATGATCCATTGCAGTTGGTTTCATTATAATTTAATTGATTTATCAAGGGGGCGTATCAAGTAATGCGGGGGGTTTTCCTTTCAGCGAGGGCCCACCCCGTGCCGATCACGGGCCCACATCAGTAGGGGCGTCCGAAATTAGGTGCTACATCTGTATGTTGTCCTAGAATAAATGGCCCATGTAGGACAGATCCTCAGTGAAGGGAGAAAATAACCTGTGCAGGAGTGTACTGTTAATATCAATACACTGAGGAAGTGAGGCTGGCATGGTGCACACAGTCCCTTTATTTAGATATATCCTGTTGAAGGTCAGAATAATTCATTACCAACAGAACTTCTATTAACTCCTAATAAAAGCATAAGCAATTTAAAATAGCTCACATTTGCATCAAATGAATAGCAAGTGTAGCTTGAAGAGGTCTCGTCTTAACAATTACATCCAATATTTGTTTTTCATGAGGGTTATTTGACACTGATTAACTTTGAGCTTCAGCGGTGTAGCTCCCCCATGCTAGTGCTAATTAAAAGATCTTCTGAAACGCATTTCGAAACTTTTCAAAAATCCATATTATTAAACAAAAACTTCAGTCTCAGGGAAACAATTAAAAAGTTATCTTGGAGATAAATAAGAGAGAGCCTTAAAGTGTGTGAAAAAGAGAAGAAACTGTTTCAGGTCAATGCAAAACAAACAGACAAATGTGGATGGAAGAATGCTGCATTTGGGTGAATCTGTTCAAGCACAGACATGTTTTTCTACAGTCTGTCATGTTCAAAATTCCTCTACAAAGCAAGGAGTTCGGACCAGGCAGTAAGGTTATAATAAAACTGATTTATTTCAGTTGTGATAAGGAATACAAATGCTCAGCTGAGGTTTCTGGAGATCAGTGTTCCACAGGCCGCGAGCAGTTTTCACTCCAAGCAGTTAATTGTCCAACATTTCCTTCCAGAACCCCGGAAACTGGCAAAACACATTTCATATACAGAATTACAGAATAAAGGTGTCATATTATGATTGGATATGTGTATTTCTGAGTGAGGTGCTGTCGATTGTAGTACAGGCGAGCCCACGCCTCTTGGCTTCGCCCAGGTCCAGTCTTCTTCCCAAGGTCATCCAGGCCCTACACTATACTGGCTGTCTGTTTCTCCTGTCACGTGCTAAGCTCTGAACTGCTCGTGCCTGGCACGGTTCCCTCTCCTGAACCTCAGCGAATAAATCTAATAAAAGTAGCAGAAAAGCAGTTCCTTCTTATGTTGTGCTCACCATTAACACTGTCACTTCTCTTCATAGTTTAAGACCTTCTGGTAGCACATTATTCATAAACATTTCTTTATGAGCAAGCAATAATATTCTTCAAGTCTTAATATGATACTGCAATGTAAAAAAAAATCCACCAGAGACCTTCACTGTGGTTAACAAACACATACAGTAAGCTGTCTCTATTACACACTGGAACATAAGTTATATCCAAATAATCTGAAGTGCAAATTAAACTGCAGCATGCAGAAGAAGCTAGTCACACACACTCTGTGTGGATGCTGGTGGGACAGCTCCAGATCCAGGTCATAAAACCAGTGTGTTCTATAGGTTTCTGTGCATGTCAATGGTCTGCAAAGACTCAAATCCCTGTGTTCCCTCCAGAGGGAGTTTCTCCCCCACACACCCTGGCTAGCGCTCCAACACATTGTACATGATAGGCTAAGCGGCGGGACATCTGTAAACTGTTGACTAATCACATCATAGCCAGCCAGCTAACCAATCAGAGCAGACTGGGCTCTGGTTTCAGACAGAGGGTGAAAAGAGGTGCTGCAGCACAGGCAGTATGAGAACAATAAAGAGCTTTTGAACATTAAAACATGGAGACATGTCCCAGTAGAGACACTACATACAAATATGAACCTGGAAATAAGCATCATATGTTTTCTTTAACCTTTGTTATATATATTCAGTGTTCAGGTGTTAAAGATTCTTTGATTGTTCTTTTTTAGTAGAACCCTTTTAAACTACTGTATGTCCACTTAATGTTAGAAAACACTTAAGCATGAACTTGTACAGCATACAAGTGTACGCTTAAAGTGAGTGTATACAGATTCAAGATCAAGTTTTCTTGAGTCTGCCTCTTGTACCTCCAACCTCGTTCTTTCAGTCATGACCCCCCCCTTCATTACCATATGGTGAGAGTAGATCGAAGATAGACCAGTAAATTGAATAGTAAGGATGGCACCTAGCCACTACCCAAGGAGGGGGTTCCAGGCACGTCCAGCTGGGAGGAGACCGAGGGGCAGACCCAGGACCAGGTGGAGGGATTATATCTCCACGCTGGCCTGGGAGCGCCTTGAAGAGTCAGAGCTGGTTGATGTGGCCAGGGAAAGGGAAGTTTGCATCCACGACACAACTCTGGTTAAGAGCTTGGCAATGGATGGATGGATGGGTTTCTTTAGTCTTCAGAAAAACAATTGAAAGTACGTTTCCAAATAATCCTGCAGCGTTTTAAATCAGGATCAGTTGTCATGATCTGGCTCAATGAATGACAACATCTGGAAACCGTACATGTCTCTTAACACTAGTACATTTATTTAAAGGAAGCTAAACTAAGTTTGCAGTCAGTTCATCTGTAATGAGTTTAGTTTGTGGATGTGTGTGAACATAGCTAGGTGTCAGAAACCAAAGTTAAACCAACTCATCTTCAAAACAAACCAACTAACCTGAAGGAAGAGAGCGTCTGGTCACATATAGTAACCAGGTTTTCAGCCATCACTCCATGAGGCTCTCCATCAATCAGGAATTGTCTTGAGATCTAAGGGCCTTTCAATCAGGGGACAGATTGGCTGGCCTGAACATGAATTGTGGATCAATGGAATGATGGTGCATTAGTGAATTGCACTCTTCCAACAGTGATGCACAAAGAGCATTCAAGGAGCAAAAGAAAATCTGAAGGTATTACTGCGTGATTGTAGATTTGTTAGAAATATTAAGCTTGAGCTTAACCTTATTTAAGTCAGATTTGATGGTAATATTCCTATCTGTGTTCAGGACATGGTTTGGGTCTGAAACGTGTTGTTGGCCATGCAGCCTCAATATGTTATTAAGTGTTTGACTTCAAGAGTCGGACAAACACTTGAACCAGGTAGTATTAACAGCACTGTAGAAAACTCAGTGCAACACTGTGAATGCTTCCAGCTGTTCTCACTATTTTAACACAGTATTGTGTCTTCCACTCTCTTCCCCTAGGGGGTTTTCAAGCTGCTTTTTTACCGTGTTCAGAACAGTTATTACACTTTTCATTCACATCATACAACCACTTCAATACCAACATTATCTCACTTCATTAAATCTGCAGCAGCTGTGTGAGGCAATCATTTCAACATGGACAACATTAGTTTCTCTGTTTCCAGCACTGTGTGGAATCCATTCAGCAGAGAACAATGGCTGTTTTGAAGCTAGAGGATACTCGCATGTTTGCTATTCTGACAAAAAAATGGTGGATGACCTCCCCTTTGATATCAATCTAAACTAATCTGAACTTCTTCCATCACAGACTGAAAACCAAGGCACCTTGGCCAATAAACGTACCACACACAGAACCATATAGTTGTAGCAACTAAAATACGTATTTCTATTGATGCTAAAGCACCATTAGCGTGTTATACCGCCAATTACCACTTCAGGAAAATCTGTGTTTTAGTCACTTTGGATAAGAGCGTCAGATGAATGAAATGTAATGCACTGTAATCACTGAGTGCACACCCTGAACCGCCAATGGCCTTCACATTAAATTGCATCTGCAAAATGGCAGTTTGTAGATTAGGGGGGGGGTCATGCTCAATGTGCTCTTTGCTAGGGTGAGGGTATAGTTTCAGGGACAGCTTAAAGGTGCACATTCACCATGTGTATTAAAACATCCTTATTAGTTTCCTTTCAATAGGTTGGATTTTTTCTAAACTGAATCTTCTTTGTTGCAGAACTCGAATGCAGAGAACCCGAATTGTGTGGCCATCGAGGGCGTGCTCGAGGCCTACTTCCAGAGCCTGAGGACGGTCCAGCTGTACGGACCCACTAACTTCGCCCCGGTCATCAGCCAGGTAGCTCGGTGAGAAACACACACATCTTTTTATGCACAACTATGTGTCACACAATCATGCACACAACCTTTATATCCTCTCTCTAACACATGTCTTCACACCAGAGGTGGGAGTAAGTCCTACATGTGCAAGTCATGAGCAAGTCTCAAGTCTTGACCTACAAGTATCAAGCAAGTCCCAAGTCACTGTGGTGAGAGTCAAGCAAGTCAAGTCAAGTCATTGCTCAGGTCAAGTCAAGTCAAGTCAAGTCATACAAAATTCTGATGAATAAGCCCAGTTTCCGCATTTAAATCAGTTAAAAGACAGTGGTTATGAAAATGGATTCAACCCACACTATGATCTTCATTACATACACAGTTAATCATTTGAAATCTAATTTAGACCGATGACAATCATATTAGATCAATATTAACCCTAGAACTGCAGACAATATAGCTAGGACTCAATCAAAAAGTCTGTTCAAAAAGGCAGAATTCCAGGTAAGAAAATCATATATGGCATTTGCCATTACACATATTTAATTTAAATGTCTGTTAACAATAGAACCGCCAACAGCATCAGCACCTACATAGATATCATTTTCAAATCATTTAATTTGTTCCTCTTCATCATTTCCTTATAAACTAAGTAGGACGATTTAAAACTCACTTAATTGGGTTAATTTAGAAATTGCTTCAGTTTATCATCATAACAGATCAAAAAGTTCAGATTCATTTTACAATAATCAAGGAATGATGCACTTCTACAAACAAAAACAACATCATTAAAACATTTAAACAAACTACTAAAAGTAGATGAACTACATTATTCAACAGTTTACAGTAACTTCTGATAATAACACAGGGGAAATAAACGAGGCATCTCTTTCCCTCTCTCTCTCCCTCTCCTGACAGCCCGTCAGTATCAGGGTTAGTCAAAATGAATCCCTTGGAGGTTCTAGTGTTCATTTACCGTTTTGTCTTCTCTTTGCAATGCTTAATCGGTTTGAAACCAAGTCTAACGTAGCTTAAACTTAACGATAGCTTTCTAGCTAACACAACACATTCACGCACCTTTCTCTGTGGGTTTTTTTTGTAGTGACGAATGAAGTTGGATGTTGTGGTGGTCGTGTCACTGATCTTTATGCTGCAGACCCTGCATACCGCTGTTCTCTTCTTATTAGCGTCATCAACAACATAATCCTTGAATCCAAACTTCACTATTTGTGGAGTAACGCTAGCCGCTGCCATGTTAACTGACACTCCTGCCGTCTAGTGGGTTGCCAGGTTTGCGCGCATGGCGCTATAATCACCCAATCACGTTTTTCGAAAAAACTAAACGTAATATCTCACTACAAAAACAAACGCAAATATTTAATTTTAAACAGTCAAGTCCTTTCAAGTCATCTGTCTCAAGCTTAAGTCAAGTCTCAAGTCATGAATACCAAGTCAAAGTCAAGTCAAGTCTTTTATCAATGTTAGTCAAGCAAGTCTCAAGTCAAAAAATATGCGACTCGAGTCTGACTCGAGTCAAGTCATGTGACTCGAGTCCCCACCTCTGCTTCATACACACTCATAAATATTCTCTCTCATATTCTACTCATTTCCATGTGTTTCATATGCATACTGTATGTGGCTGTTCCTGTGCCATCAGCTGTTTATGTATGCATGTCATGAATACAAACATAAGTATCTGAGTGACTTGATGGCAGAAAGTATGAAGTGTGATAAGCCACTCACAGAAAAGTGTCAATCATTCCTGTCTTGGAAGAGAAATCACAGTTTACATGTAAATTGTTTCCAAATATTTATATCTAACGGGCCCTGTGGAATTTTTTTTAGCAAACAAAGATTATGTTTGGATTCATCTTCAACTGTCAGTCAACTCACAAACACCTGAATAACTGTTCAGAGGGCTTTTTAATTTTTAAGCACGCAAGAACCACAACGCTTATTATAAAGGGCTCACAGAAAATCACAAAGATCACACAGGATCTCCAATACCCATTTATGAATCAGTTTGGACATAAAAGAAAAATGTGTTCCTTATTATTTCCAAACTTCTCTCATATACAGTACGTGTCGGATTGACTTGTTGATCATCCGCTCAGTTCAAACAGGAAGGGTTTTTTGGAGGTGTGTTGTGGAGTGTAGGACACAGTTTGCTGTGCTGTGATGACCTTATGTTCCTGAAGTGTATGCAAAATAGCCAAGATAATTTTAATATTTATTTATTATTTATCATAGACTCTGCAGATTGACTTACATTCATCATTTATTATACATATACATAATGCTCTATTCATTGTATTTACGCACTGTTAAAACCTCAATTTCTGTTTTCTGTATTCATTTTTCACACAGCTCATTAACAGTCATTAATGCATTGTATCTCTGTTTATTTATATTTTTTAAAGGTTGGGGTTCAATACATTTCATTATCCATTAATTTGACTAATTAAAGGATATGGTGGAAACTTGTTAGAATTTTCTTTTTGACGTGAAGCAGGTTTATGAAAGGCACCAGTAGATACACAAGTTATTACCAACATGGTTGCTTTGAGTCGTATTGAATTCCAGTGTTTTGGGTAGAGCAGGGTTTCAGGTGCAGAGGCGCTCAGGGTGCTCCCCATAGAGCATGTCAGTGTCTCTGTAAAGGTTAATGATACCCTGCCTGGTAAAATATGCCAACTCCTTTAGATCACCAACACAGAGCCCTGGTGTTCTACTGCCGGGGGGGTTAGACTCTGTCATTGATGACATCAATAGAAACTCTAAATTCCACATTTGTTCTGCTTTAAAACTAAAGGTTTGCTTTGGATGGCTTGCTCTACGGCATTTATTTTCCTAGTTGTGGTGATCAAATTAGACATTTGAAACATAACATTGAAAAATATAAACTCCACTTAAAACTCCTTCAATTAGGTTCCCTGACAGGGTTGAATATTCTGGAAGTGAAACTAAAGAGTATAATTAAAATACTCTTTAGTTTCACTTCCAGAATATTCAACCCTGTCAGTCTGTGATAAATGGAGCATTAATGTAAAGTTAGCTAACATAGATCAGTGACCATAGTAGTGGAACAGGGTGAAATATATTATAGACACTTGAAGTGTATACGTACACTGCATTGGACTTGTAAATTATACAGCAGTCATTATATGCCACCTTTTAATATAAAGATTATTACTTGTAAATAATATTAGTAATTGTAGGCATGGCAGCATTGTAACGATTATCTCCCTGTATCTGAGCGAACCTGTACCTTTGTGGGAAGCTTATGTCATATGTAATGTAGACTTTCAGAGTGTTCTTTTGATCCAAAATCGATATATGTCTACAAGCAGATATAGGGTTTTGGTTTCCATTTGGAGTTATTTTGTAGCATCAACTAATCATGTTTCAGTGGGGTTTCGGATAGATGGTAAACTGTCTGTGTGCAGAGCAAAAGAGTCCAAACACAATTCATTGCAGTCTGTTATTGGCTAACGATGATTTCGCTTTTTATTAGCTTGTAAACTGGCTTCTTGTGAAACCATCTTCTCTTTCGTACTCTATTCTATTGTCTTGTGATGTCTACTATTAACTTGTTCTTGTGTGTGTTTGTTGTGTGTGTGTTATGCTAGGTGTGCTGCAGAGGTGACGGACGGCTCCCAGTACTTTGTGCTGCTGATGATCACAGACGGCGTCATCTCAGACATGGATCAGACCAAAGAGGCTGTGGTGAATGTGAGTGGACACACTGCAGCTGTGTGTAGTGACACATGGACCGGCTCTCTTTCAAATCTAAACTACGTCCTAACAGGAGGGCTAAATCCTCTCTGAAGAGGGAAACACACAAAACCAGAAACAGAAAGACAAGTGTGTGTTTTTTTTTTGCATAAACAGGGAAGTATTTTGATTGAAATCAGATTATTTATAAAGAACCTACATAATATAGGATATACACTTTACTTTTGTTGATTTTGTGCCACGTTTCTAAAGTAAAACTCTGGTCTCTAACCTGTTTAGCCCTGAGACCTGTTTTTCAGGTCTCAGGCTCGAAATGACATTCCCAGAACAAATGACTATATCTTCACTTCTAAAAGCTTTTTTCTCAAAGCAATGATAAACCTGTGAGTTGGATGTAGAAAAGTCAGAATCAATATAGATGTTTTTATTTTAAAGTAAATTCAGATTGAACATAGTAAAACAATTGAAATTATAGTTTCCGTCCAAAATAAACCCATTACTTATTGTGAAAACCACCCTTGAATGATGGGATAGTAGACTAAAAGCTTTTGGAATCCAAACTATAACATATAATAAGTACCCTGTATCAAGATTGATGCAAAACAAGTGAAATTTGACCTTTTTAGAGAGATTTAGAAAAAAAGAAACACCTCTGGGGTCATTTGGTGTGTATTTGTGTGTATTTGCCGTTTCTCTGGAACCCATTGGTCGATTTTGGTGATTGACACCTCTTTTTTACCGTTAGAGCCAATAGAATCGAGGGGAAGTTCCTAAATCCACCTACATGTTACCATTGAGGAGTGAGAGTGATTCGCATGCAGTTTGCCCAAACCAAAAGCTACGTTACGCTCTGAAAACTGAAAACTAGGCTTATTGATCATAAATATGATGATGGATTATCAGTAATCTTTTCAAAGTGACACAGAGACATTGGATTAACCTTCAGCAGCGTTTTTTATGCGTTTTATTGCCATTGAACACAACTTTTAATCAGAAAACAGCAAAGGTAAGACATATTTGCCGTTTTGGCTACGTAAAGTGGAGTTGTGTGTTGTCTTTGCTGGCTTTCGCTGCCGCGAGTTCTGGTCGCTCAGTGATGATACTTGTACCATTGGAATCTGTAGAATCTCAGCTTTCATATGATATCTTGTTTGTGCAGATCAAATGAAGTATAACATATTTCTACCGTGAGTTATGTGCTAAGTGCGTTAGCATTCTTTCGTTTAGTGCTAATTCAGAGGCTCGGCGTTAGACTTGTGTTTTGTTTCGGTAAAAATGGTTCATATCGTCAGGTAGCTGAGTTTCTTCCCGTTAAGTGGGTATGACACATTAATAGGTTGTTAAATGTTAAGAAGCCCTGAGACACAGTTTCGTGAATATTGTTGTTTTTTGCCCCCGCCCGAGGGGCACCGGGCTTAACAGGCTAAGCAGTGATATCCACTTCCACACAGCAAGCTAGTACAGAACATTGGAGCTGCACTACTCATGAGTTTATTTTAACAATGCTTGAAATGTGTTGCATTATCGAGGACAACCCCACAGAGAATTTTCAATAACTCTGCAGTTCTCCTCAGCTACTGAGAGTTCCAACGTCTTTTTGGTTCACTGACTCCATTCTAGCAGTTTTCAGTTAAAAAGCTGTACACTGTACTGCTCAGCTCATACAGATAAGGGCCTAGCTTGGGAAACACAGTAGAGAAATATTACCGAAACTTTCTCAGAAGTTGCTGGAGACCAAGCCGGAGACTAATATTGGATCTATATTTTATCTGATGGCCAGAAGCACAAGTTGTGTTTGCTAAACGCTTAATCACTAAAGTTAGCGTAAGCCATGACATCTGTAGCGACATAATTCCCACTGAATTAGGTCGCTTAAGAGGCTAAGTTTGGTTCTTCATTGTGACTCGTTCCCAATGGGCAGTCCACACTGAAGTTCTTGTTCCAACTAATTTAATAACGAAAATGAAATTACGAAATTACAACGAGAACATCGGTCCATAGTATCCAACCAATTCACTCTATCTGTTTTAAATACCTTAAAAACAGCCATATGACAATTGCCGGAATGGTTTAAACAAATACTGATAACATTTGAAGATCATCCACAATGGTTAAACAAGCAATTTGGCTCCAACAACATCTTTATACCAAATAGTTACGGCAGAGGTACGTATATCATCATCAGTATGTTTGCTTAAAAGTTAATCCCTGGTCATTTTATTAAAAAACAGCAACAGAGTTCAAGTAAATTCAGTCAGGATAGAAAAAACATCTTTGCACATTGTAGTCACTTTCACACCATCGTTCAGTCTGTAACAGGGAGAGGTTCATCAGCACTGAAGACTGCATAATAAAGGGAACAGTTCATGTGTATAAACTGTACTTCCACTTTGTATTTTCGGCTCACATCCCTCCTGTGTGTCTCCACAGGCAGCCGGCCTGCCCATGTCCATCATCATAGTGGGAGTGGGCCCTGCTGAGTTTGATGGTAAGTGTGTGTGTGCACATTTCTAATGTTTAAAGGCCCTGATACACAGAGCTGATTGTTGTCTGTTGGCAAAATGAAGCCATCGTGAGTGTCTGTCAGTCATGTTGTTCTCTGTCCAGCACCAACAGGACTTTTTGCCACTGCCAACAGTCTGTTGGAAAAGCACTCTGTTAATCACTCTGATTGGCTGTGCGGTGTAAGTGTGAGGAAAACAAACAAACAACTTGAGCCAAAAGGGCATTCACAGAGTCTTTTAATTTTCCATCCTCATCTCATCTGATCATTCTAATACACAGATATTTTCAACATGGCCGTTTGACGATGGTAGGCAAACATTTATTACTGAACGATGAACAACCACACTACAGCTGCCTGCTGGCTCTCACACAGGGGAATGAAATCACACAATGTGGACAGCGTGGGATTGACATTTAATGGCAAAGAGAAGCAATTTGCCACACACACACACAACACACACACACACACACACACACACACACACACACACAACACACCCCACACACTAACACACACACTAACACACACATACACACACACACACACACACACACCACACACACACCACACACACACACCCCCACACACTACCACACACTAACACACACTAACACACACACATACAGTTCATCAACACAGATAGCTATACACACACTCATGCTTACGCACTAACGTATGTCGTTGCATTACATCAGAATATGTGCAAAGGCAGGTAAATAGACCTCAATGAGTAAGCCAAGAGATAGAAATGAAATGTGAAAATATAAATAGTTATAATGTACCTCCACAGCTGAATACATCATCAAACCTAAAAACCGTCTCTACCTCCTGACATTCATCCCCCCAGCCAAGCTTTTCATCTGCAACAGATAGGCCATTTGTTATATTTTATTTATTTTACATTTCTTAAATGTTATTTATGGTATTTATTTTTCCCTTTTTCATTCCTTTCTTCACTATTCCTTTGTTCTTTTTTTCTTCAATTTTTCCCATTTCCTTTTCACTTCCATTTCCATTCCCAGGAAATGACAAGTATGTTAGACACAAAGAGACACACATTGCATGTTGGTGAGTAACACTGAGTGTACACATAACGGTTGTTTTTCACATTTTCTTAAAGGGCCATGGCCATGGCCATTTCCACTGATCATAATTCCATTGTTGAGGTATACTAGAATAGATTTATATTGTGCAATTTTCCAAACTCACATTGGTTTCTCATACAGCATCTCTGTAAACTACTTGTATTCACTGAATTTCACTCTCTGCCTTTAACGGCTCGTCGTAGCTCCAATAGCTCCAGCCCCCACCCTCCCTGTGAGCACAGTGTGCTCTGATTGGTCGGGACGTTGTGAATCGCGCTGAGCTCCGTGGATCGTTGTTTCCTTGTTAGCGATACACAGCCAAACTCATCCTGAGCACACACAAAGTCACAACCGAAGTAAAAACAATAAGTGTGGCTTGATATTGAGTAAGAAAAAAGGTTGATAAACGCTGTGAGAATGGGTCTGCAGAGAGAATGTTTGCCGCGATCCCAACTGTCTGTTATCAGCCTGCAGCCAGGGAGGAGAAATCAGCTGAGCTGCCTGCTCCCTGCACACAGATGTGTGTGTGAGGAAGTCCGTGGATTGGTCAATTTGGACCAATCAGCGGGGGCTTAACGTAACGGCTCCGCGGACGTAACGTAACGGCTCCACGGATTGGTCCATTTCGTTCCGGGTACGGCTTAACATCATGCCGTACCCGCAACGAAATGGAAGAATCAAATGGACAGTGACGTATCTCCAACGAGGCGTTTTGGGGAGGTATTTTCTGTGTTAGAGTTTTACTCGCTACAGGGTGTACTTTGAGGGTTTTGACTCTGCACACCGTTTACATGCATAAAAACCTTCATAACACACAAGGGGACGGGTAATAAACCGGAAAAGCATGACATGGGCCCTTTAAAGATTACTATATTGTTGGATCAGGGTGTGTCAGAAACATACTATAAGAACAAGCAGCTGATGAGTGTCTGGATCTTCCAGCACAACAGTTTGAGTTTATAATAATGCAGAGTTTAGTCTGCCATACCTACAGCTATATAAAGAGAATAGAGAGAGAATTATTTGTTTGTCACAGATCTTGTTCCCTGCATTATTCCAAAAATAAAATGGATAAATGCTTTTTGTTGACATCCTGCAATGGTAACTTCCGGGTCAGCCTACTAAAATAAGTCATCACTGCTCCATTCTATTGTGTGTAGGATGGGGTCAAAAGTCAATGACTGTGGCAGTAAAATAAATATCAAAACAGATGGTGGAAGTGTAAGAGTGGAAGAGATATAGAGAACAAAATGTATGGAGATCATGTTTATACGTTTATATCCAATTACCAATTTAATCTGTGTAGAAACCGGATTTATACAACACCTGTAGAAATGGAAATGACAAGAGCAGAGCTGCCATGTGTACATGCCTTTTACTCACTTTCCTGTCAGCCAGTCCCTGCCCACTTTGCACAGTCTGTCACTCAGCAGAAATGCTTGATGTGAGCCTGATTCAGCCTCTCTGCTGCTTTAAAAAGCTTCAAAAGTGCACATGTCACTCAGAATTGCTTATGATGAATGTGCAATGGCATTCATCATAAGCAATTCTGTTGTCGCTTGTTCTTCCTACCTTCACATATGTTTTAGGATACATTTGTGAAAATAAACGTTTAAATGTGTGTAACCCTAACCCTTTCATTAATCCCTGTAGGGAATTATCATTGTTCAATTGAGGAATAATAAACATCAAATTACAGCACCAGAAAGTGTTTTGAACCTCAAATGAATTAAATGCTTGAAAACACCCAAGCATAGTAATAGTACATATTTTCATTAATATCACTTTATCATGCACTTCCTGCTACGCATGCGTGCGTGAAAGCCTTTTATCCTCTTCCTCTGTTCCATAGACCTCCACTTAACCCTCTTATTCTGTTCAAATTGTTTTAATTGACCCAATACATTATTGGGGTTTCATAACCAATGCACAAATATAAATGTACTTACAACAACCACTGACACATGTTGTCTTAATAACCGACAATATAGATAACAATAACATTTATAATCAATGTTTGCTATACTCTCGTTCTAGATCATTTTCAACTAAATAATAGTCATTCATTCTTTGTGTAAAGTATCATTTATGTACAAATCCACATCCATTATAATAAAGACTTAGTTTGCATGTTCATGCTTATTAGGAAAAATTGTAAAAGAAAACCAAACAGAAAATAAGATGATCAGAAACACCTAACCCAACTCAGATTTTTTTAGTCAATGGCTATGATAATCATCTCCAAGATAAATGAAAGCCCTGCCCTATAGATAAATGCAAAGATGAGGAGCCCAAAGTTAACAGGTAAACATGTATTGTCCATCTCATTTCACTCCTATCTTACAACACGTCTCCACTAAGTTTGATCCTATCCAGAATGATCTCTGAATTGATTCAGTAATCAACAGCTCAAAAGATGACTTGATGTCAAGAACAAGTGTCAGGGGTATTGTTGTGGCCCCTGGTACCATCTCTATTGTGAAAGCATCACCATGATCACACACACACACACACACACACACACACACACACACACACACACACAACACACACTGCCCGATTACTCCCCCTTGTATTAGTTTTATAGTGTCTGAGGGCTTCTTAACATTTAACAAACTATTAATGTGTCATACCCACTTAACGGGAAGGAACTCAGCTATCAGACAATATTAACAATTTTTAGCTAAACGAAACACAAGGGTAATAACAATAACAAGCCTCTGAATTAGCACTAAGCGAAAAGATGCTAGCGCACTTAGCACAGAACTCACGGTAGAAATATGTTTATACTTCATCGGTTCTGCACGAACAATATATAAAATGAAAGCTGAGATTCCACATATTCCAATGGTATAAGTATCATCACTCCACGACCAATACTCCAAGGGCATGCGAAGGCGAAACCAGACAACACACAACTTAGCTTTACGGGGCCAAACGGGTCAATACGTCTTACCTTTGCTGTTTTCTGATCAAAGGTTTGTTCAATGGCATTAAAACGCAGATAAACGCTGCTGAAGGTTAATCCAGGCCCGGTACTACGGGGGTGCATAAGGGTGCATTGCACCCTCAGTTGAGTCGTTATGCACCCTCATTTGAAAAATGAAAAGTGAAAAAAAATGAAAAAAAAAAAAAGTGAAAAATATTACATATATAATAACAATAATAATAATAGTAGTAATAAGAAGAAAAAGAAGAATATAGTTGAAATAAAATAAATTGTAATTGTGGTTAAATAACATTGTCTGCTGCATTTATTTGGTCAATTTAAACGGTAAGTAACGTTATTATGTCAGGTGCGCGTGACCTGTGCTGCTGCGCGTTCGTCATCTGCAAGGTGCTTACACAGCAGTCAATGATGGACATCAGAAAATGGTTAAAACAACCAGCCCTTATCGCCAGCAGTAACACTGCATCTACTGCAGGTAATAACAGTTCAGATCATGGGGACATTACGTTACCCGCGGCCACTGTCGTGGACACTAAACGTCCTCCCCGCCCGACTCGCCGGCTTTGCCCGCCTCGCCCACGGAGCATGGCGCCAGTTGTTGTAGCCAGGTTGTGGTGAAGGCATCTGACGTACTTGAACCGAAATGTCTACATGCAGCAGAAGATGGCATCTTTTTCACATGAATATTCCAGCCAATCTCTGTTTTGAAACCATGAGCTGCAAAATGAGCGCCTACCCCACTGTACAGGTGAGTTGGGTACTTTTGAAAATATACCTGGGCAGGCTCTGTTTGCCGAGGTCCTCCTGGCACTTGCGGGCCGCCGAGGGGGTGGCGGTGTTTGGGGCAACGAAGACGGCTGCGGCTGCTCTGCCTCCGTGCGTGATAAGGGACTGGGAAGGCATGAATCAAGCAAAGAGCACATGAAGTCAGTGGCTTTGTAGAAGGA